CCGTCGCTGCCGGAGATGATGTTCGGGGACAATGTCCCCAGGATCCTGCATTGCTCTGGCTTGGGGATCCTGTTCAACACACAGCGCTGAGGGGGTGTCAACAGCTTCCAGGGCATGCTGAAGGTGGCGTGCGCCGAGGACGGAGGGCGAGCACTCCAAGGAGGTGCTGAAGCCGTAAGACTGGACCTACACGACGGACGACAAGGGCACGCTCCTCGGGGAGTCCCTGAAGCTGGAGGTCGGACCGACAAACAGACCACATCGACACGGAGAAGCGGAAAGCCCGCGAGCAGATCAAGTTCTTCGAAGCGGTTCTCCTGTTTGCGGACGAGCTCCACGGCCACGGAGTGTCCAGCCTCCCCGTGAAGATCAGAACGACGCCGTCCAGCTTCTTTCTGCTGCTGAGGTTTTTCCTGCGGATCGTCGGCGTGCTCAGCCGGATGAACGACACCCGGCTGTACCACGAGGCGGACCAGACGTACGTGCTGCGGGAATACACCTCCCGGGAGAGTGAAATCGCCAACTTAATGCACTTGCCACCCGCCCTGTTCACAGAGCCCAACGAGATCTCGCAGTACCTGCCCTTCAAGGGGTCCGTGTGCGAGAAGCTGCTGTTCCAGGACAGGATCGACTCGAACCCCGACGACGCGCAGGGCAGCCCCTGCTCAAGTAGCTGGACTGGAACGTGTATAAGTCATACCTCACCTCACCTGACCTTCCGATTGCTTCCAATAATTTTCCATGCAGATTTGAACAAAACAGATGCAATTTATAAAAATTTCTAAGACAGGAAAAAACTTGTAAGACTATTCATTAGCTGAAGTTTGTAGGCCACTTATATATTGATTTGATTCAGATGTCTTAGTTCCTGCGAAACATAATATTTATTTATTTATTTTTACTTTTTGGGTCACACCTGGCGATGCTCAGGGGTTACTCCTGGCTTTGCACTCAGGAATCACTCCTGGTGGTGCTCAGGGGACCATATGGGATGCTGGGAATCAAACCCAGGTCGGCTGCATGCAAGGCAAATGCCCTACCCGTTGTGCTATTGCTCCAGCCCCTAATTTTTTGTTTTAATTGCAGACGAGAGGAAGATAAATTTAGTATATTCCCGGGAACTTCCTTATCTTCTTGTGGGGGGAAGAAGCCAAGAGAAGCCGTATCTGACCATTGCTACAGAAGATATATGCCATTTTATATTTATTTGTTCCTAGTGTCTTTTTGTAAAAGGGAAATAAACAATAAACAAGGAGTGCTCAAAAAAAAATAAAAATAGGGACTGGAGCAATAGCACAGCGTGTAGGGCGTTTGCCTTGCATGCAGCTGACTGGGGTTCGATTCCCAGCATCTCATATGGTCCCCTGAGCACCGCCAGGGGTAATTCCTGAGTGCAGAGCCAGGAGTAACTCCTGTGCATCGCCGGGTGTGACCCAAAAAGCAAATAATAATAATAATAAATAAATAAATAAATAAGTCTCCCAGGCACAAAGGACTCGGCGCTTAAATGACGTTATGATACTCAGAACCTCCTGATCACTTAGGACTTACCCAGGTCAGGGAAAAAGAGCCACAATTCGAGGGTATTTGTAAATGGCACCTCCTTGTAAGTTTTACGTCAATGCGGGGGGGGGGGGAACACAATTATTGAATTGGAGTTAATGATGTGAGCAGTGCGGGAGAGGGAGAGGCCGTCTCCGGGCTCCAGATCACTGGTTCACTCATGATTTAGAATTGAATGCTGAGGGCTGGAGCAACAGACAGCAGAGCTTCGCCTTGCATGCAGCTGACCAAGATTTGATCCCCAGCATCCCATATGGTCCCTGATCCAGGAGTGATTTCTGAGTGCATGAGCCAGGAGCAACCCCTGTGTGTCACAGGGTGTGACCCAAAAAGAAAAAAAAATAGAATTGAATGGCGAAGACCTGGGCAATAATACAGCGAGTAGGGCGTTTGCCTTGCGTATAGCCAATCCGGGTTCAGTTTCTGGCATCCCATAAGGTCCCCCAAGCACCGCCATGAGTGAGTCTTGAATGGAGACCCAGGAGTAACTCTTGAGCGTTGCTGGGTGTGACCAAAAATGCAAAAAAACAAACAACAGAATTAAATTCTGAAGCCACCCCGCGCTCTAAGGAAAACCTTTCTCTGAAAAGGGGAATTAAGTCTTCACCATCACCTTATCACCCCAACCCCGTTTTCCTATAAGGTGCACCCCACCTTCTCTCCGTGAAGTATCTCAACTGTATAAGCTGTTTCAAGAAATTGTCTTAAGTATTTCTGTTATGAGGATTTGAAACTGGTGCGGCCAGTCTGGGCCAGAGTAGGAAGGTTACTAAAATATCAAATCAAATCAAAACAATGGGGCCTTGTGGAGTTCATGCACAATTCAATCAGCTAATCAATGGCTGAATAAATAGCAGTACTCCTACATATATTTAAAAAATAATAATAATGGGGCCGGAGTCATAGGACAGTGGGTGAGATGCTTGCCTTGTATGCAGCCAACTGGATTCAATCCTCAGCCTGCCATATGGTTCCTCCAAACCCTGGTCAGGAGCGATCACTGAGCTCAGAGCCCTGGACAGTACCAGGCGTGGCCCCCAACAAGCTACGATAAATGTCCGGGGCCAGGGAGACAACGGACAGAGGTTGGATCCCAGCACTGCTTGGTACTCCTATGTGGGCAGACACCCTGCCCCCAGCACTACCAGCTGTGGCCCATAAACCAAGAGAAAACAACAAACAGGTAATTCAGAAAGGTTCCCTCCAAGCTTTGATCCAAAGACTGAGCAAAAGGGAATGAACATTGGTCTGCTCTGGCTGATTCCAGCAAGTTCCAGCAACCCAGTCTGGAAACAATGCCCCAGAGAGGGTGGACAAAGGGATTGTGGTTTTATACTAAGAGGAACTCTCCCCTGCTACAGAACACACACAGAAAAAAATGGGAACTTGTCTTTTGAGCAAACACGGGCAGCCCCCGATGGGGTTAAGCTGAATGCGTCAGACAGAGGCTGAACAACATGTACTGGCCCGGATGGCCCCACTCAGGCGAGAGACACGAAAGCCATAAACAAAACAAAACAAAGCCTGAGCCTTCAGCCAGACTGCTGGGTCCTGGGAGGGGTGCAGTGGAGGACTCTAGAGGTTTTGGGGAGGGGTCCGTTGGACAGAAGTGGGGTAGGAGTTGTGTGACCATCGTCTGTGAAAGTAATAATGTCCTGAGACAGTGTTAATGTCACCTCAGGAGAAAAAAAAAAAAAACAGCGACATTTGGGCCTGAGTGATAGAACCGTGCATAGAGCGTTTGCCTTGCTAGTAGCTAGCCCAGGTTCGATCCCCAGCATCCCATAGGGTCCCCTGAACACCACCGGGAGTGATTCCTGAATGCAGAGCCAGGAGGAACCCCTGAGCATCGCTGGGTGCGACCCAAAAGCAATAAAACGATAAAAATGTTTAAGCAACTAGAAAGCACGTCCCAATTGCAAAGGCTCCCCGCCCCATGCTATGCCTCCAGTGCCCTTCAGGGGGCAGGAGAGAGTGTCTGCTCTGGAGAACTGACAGATGGCGAGGCGACAGTGACCGCAGCTAGGGAGAGATTAGATGGACGCAGACCAGGAGAGAGAGGGACAGGAGACAGAACAGCGGGGAGCGCGCCTGCTGACCTGGGTTCCCTCCCCGGCGCCCAGTAAGGTCCCCTGAGCCCAGGAGTTGATCCCTGAGTGCAGAGCCAGGGGTCAGCCCTGAGCATTCGTGTGTGGCCCCCACAAAATAAGTGGGCTGGGGCTGGAGAGATAGCACAGCGGGTAGGGCATTTGCCTTGCACGCGCCAACCCGGGTTCGATTCCCAGCATCCCATGTGGTCCCCTGAGCACCACCGGGAGTAATTCCTGAGTGCATGAGCCAGGAGTAACCCCAGTGCATTGCTGGGTGTGACCCAAAAAGCAAATTAATAATAAAAATAATAATAAGTGGGCTACAAAGTAGATGCTAGCTAGAAGAGTTTTTCTTTTTCTTTTTTTTTTTTGTTTCAAACCAAAGAACATTGATTTGACTTTTTTTTTTGCTTTTTTTTTTTTTTGCTTTTTTTGGGTCACACCCGGCAATGCACAGGGGTTATTCCTAGCTCTGCACTCAGGAATTACTCCTAGCGGTGCTCAGGGGATCACATGGGATGCTGGGAATCAACTCAGGTCGACCGCGTGCAAAGCAAACGCCCTACCCGCTGTGCTGTTGCTCCAGCCCAAGACATTTCTTATTTTTAAACGAGTATTTTAAGATTAACAAAATAATATATGGGACGCCTCACAAACTTGCGTGTCATCCTTGCGCAGGGGCCATGCTAATCTTCTCTGTATCATTCCAATTTTAGTATATGTGCTGCCGAAGCGAGCACAGTTTTTGTTTTTGTTTTTTTACTAAGATAATAGATCTGCACGCATGCCAGTGCTCTTGGCTGTGGCGAGTCCCATCGCCGGCTTGGGAGCCAGCGAATGTCCCAGCGCGGCAGAGAGGGTCAGACGTTTGTGCTCCCAGCGGAGAGCAGCGCAGGGGGAGGTGCGCGCCTTGCACGCCGCCGACCCCAGATTTATCCCCTGGACCGTGTGTGATGCGCGGAGCCCCGCCAGGAGTGATCCCTGAGGGCAGAGGCAGAGGAGAGCCCTGAGCCCCGCCAGGAGCGGCTGACACCCCCATCCCCAGTGCCCAAAAAAGGAGGAAGCAGAGCAAGACCCAGGAACCTGAGCCTGGGGAGAAGGTGCGAAGCGCCGGGTGAGGCCCTGAGTTCGATCCCTGGCGCCGCGCCCGCGTCACCCCCCACCCAGCACCACTGGGTGTGGTCCCCAGCACACAGCTTGGGAGGCTCCACCCCCCCAAAAAAATGCCAGGAAACTAGGGTTGCAAGGTCAGACTTCCTGCCGGGGTGGCCCAGCTCAGAGGCGGCGCCACTCACCCCGAGCGCCGGGAGCTTGCAAGCAGGTGTTTTCCTCTCCGCGGGGGGGGGGGGGGGCCGGGGGGGGGGCAGGAAATCGGGGCGCTGCGCCGCCCTCCCGGACGCGGAGCCGCAGCGCCCACGCGGGCGCCCCTCTGGAGCGGTTACCGCCCCGCTTTCAGGTTCGGGGCGCCCCGTCCTGCCTCCTGCCGGTCGCACGCACCCCCTGGCGCCCCGGGGCTCCCGCGGGCGCGCCCAGGCTTGACGGCAGGTGAGACCAGCCGGGCGGGTGGCGGCGACCTGAGGACGCGCGGCCCCCGGGGGAGGAAGGGACAAAGGTCCGCCTGCCTGACCCACTTCCTTCCTGTTTGCCGGAGTTGCTGGGGGGAGCCAGGAAGAAACCCCCAGCCGGTGGGGTGGAGGTGCGGGGGACCCCTGCGGTGTTCTGGGGAAGAATGAGTCACACGTCCTGAGCCCCTCTGCAAGGAAGGGGGCGGTGGGGGCAAACCAGGGGGGAGCAGAAGTAGACAGTGTGGGGGTGGTCCCCTTCAAGGCTGGGTCACAGGCATACCACTGAGACAGCTGCCAAGGTGGCAGGGTCAAAGGTCTGTGGTCCCAGGCCTCATGTCTGCTGCTGGCCCCAGGCTGGGGGGCTTGGAGGGTGCCTGTGGCTGGAGTGGGGTGTGGGAAGGAGGGGGGTGTGGGTGGAACTTCTTGCAAAAAGGGGGCCGCATGATCAGAGGGTCCTATACACAAGGGGGCTCCCCAGAGGCTGACCTTGAGGGATGTCCCTGCCCTGACCCTGCCTGTGGCCAGGTTGCCCCATGTCCAGACAGGCAGGGGCCAGCGCAGCCGCCTCGGCTTATCTGAGGCTCCCACACTCCGCCACACACGCAGCTCCTGCAGATAACGGGCAAAGCACCCCAGCTCCTGTGGGCAGACAGGGAGGCGGAGAGCAGGGCCAGACCCCTCACCCCAATCCCACGCGGGGCCCTCACATGACCCCAGGGGACGGCTACTGGAACTGTCTCTGGAGAAACCGCATCATCCTCGCTAATCACCCGCTTCTGCCAGGGAATAAAGGCCGGCGCGGGCACTCCCGGCCTGGACTCCAGCGGCCTTGCTGTGCCCCTCCAGGGTGAGTCCCGCTCCCCTTTGCACCCTGCTGTCCCTGGAGCCCCAAGCTCACATTGCCCAGGACACTGGGGGCCCATCTGAGCTGGCCTGTCCCTCCAGATGGACACCGGGACGCTGCTGCTCTTCCTGCACATCTGCGTGGGGCTCCCGCTGGCCCAGGGTGCCGCCCCCGCCCTACGCTTCGTGGCCCTGGGGGACTGGGGCGGGGTCCCCAATGCCCCTTTCCACACGGCGCGGGAAATGGCCAACGCCAAGGAGCTAGCCAGGACGGCGCAGACCCTGGGCACAGACTTCGTCCTGGCCCTGGGGGACAATTTCTACTTCACAGGCGTGCATGATGTAGATGACAAGAGGTTCCAGGTGTGGGAAACCACTGGGGTGGGAGGTTGAGGTGGGGGCTGGGAGGGGGAGGGGCTTCATACAGTGGGGACTCCCTCCCCAACCCTGGGGGACTCCGGGATCCCCAGCCCCCACTCCCAGGTAGCTAACAGAGGCCCGAGTGGAGCCACTTGGCATTCCCGGGGTGCCATGCCCTTGAACCCCCTTGGGCGCAGGAGACCTTTGAGGATGTGTTCTCGGATCCCGCGCTCCGGAACGTGCCTTGGTACGTGCTGGCTGGAAACCACGACCACCTGGGGAACGTCTCGGCTCAAATCGCCTACACCAAAATCTCCAAGCGCTGGTGAGCCTGGCGTCCCGCTCCGGAGGTCCCCGCCCGCCCCAGGACCTGAGCTAACTCTGGGGTCCACCCCCCTGCCCTTTCTCTCTGCCTCCCCCCCTCCCCGGCGCAGGCATTTCCCCAGCCTCTACTACCGCCTGCGCGCCCGCGTGCCCCAGACCAACGTGACCGTGGCCATCTTCATGCTGGACACGGTGACCCTGTGCGGGAACTCCGACGACTTCCTGGGCCAGCAGCCCCAGCGGCCCCGCGACCCGGAACTGGCGCGCACGCAGCTGTCGTGGCTCAAGAAGCAGCTAGCCGAGGCCCGCGACGACTATGTGCTGGTGGCCGGCCACTACCCCATCTGGTCCATCGCGGAGCACGGCCCCACCCACTGCCTGGTCAAACAGCTGCTGCCGCTGCTGGCCAAGTACAAGGTCACTGCCTACCTGTGCGGCCACGACCACAACCTGCAGGTGCGGGCCCGGCCACGCGGGGGCGCGCCTGCTCCCCGCGTCCAGCCAGCGGGGAGCCCCGGGGGGTCCGCGCGGAGGCTCTGGCTCAATCCCCACCCCCATTCCACAAAAAAGTACAAATTCTATGTTCTCTAACTGAAAAGTAGCCCAAAGTTCCTTAAAAGTTTTGGAACGCCCCCAGAGGCGTGTGTGGACGCGGCTGCTCTCTGGGAAATAGACTAAACGGGGGCGCTGCCCCCAGGGGGACAGAGAGGGGTCAAGGCAGGTCAGCGGGGAGGCCGGTTGCTTTGCCCAGGGTCAGCCAGGTTTGATCCCCAGCACCCCATAGAGTCTCTACACCCACTGGAGTGGGCTGGGGAAAAACCTCACCACCGCCCCCTGCGCCCCCGCCCCTGGTCCCGCAGTTCCTGCAGGATGACAGCGGTGTGGGGTACATCCTGAGCGGAGCGGGCAACTTCATGGACCCATCCAAGAAGCACCGGCGGAAGGTGCCCGAGGGTTTCCTGCGCTTCCACTACGGCGACGAGAACTCTCTGGGCGGCTTCGTGCACGTGGAGATCAGCGCCAAGGAGCTGGCGGCCACCTACATCGAGGCTTCTGGAAAATCCCTCTTCAAGGCCAGGCTGCCCCGGCGCAGTCGCTCCTAGACAGCCGTCGGGGGTTGGGGGGAGGACCCTGCAGGACCCTTGCCTCGGGGCCTGAGCAGGCTGGCCTGGGCTGGAAGGGTCAGGCAGAGATGGCCAGATGCTAGGATCCCAGGGCAGATGTCCCAACTGCAGGTGTCCCAACTGCAGTCATGCCCCAGGAGACCGGCTCCCAGAGTCGTGGGCTGGGGTGGGGCGGCCCAGGAAACTACCTTTGGCCCGGCCAATCACTGTGTCTGTTGGTCCACCTGCCTGGCTCAATAAAAGAACCCTTGCGAAGTTTACAGTGTCCTGGCCGGAGAGCGAGCATAGCAGGGAGGCACTTGCTTTGCATGCCATTGGCCTGGGTTCGATCCTGAGTGTCGCAGGGTGTGGCCCCCAAATTAAATAATAATAATAATAATAATAAAAGAAAAGAAAGCAGGTCTTGGTGTCCTTCCTCCCTGCCCCATCACACCTGAACATTTGTTTCTGTTCGTTTCAAAATGTCAGATCACAAACATGGAATGTGTAATATGGACGTCCAAATCCTTTGAAAGTCTTAATGATGCCATCCGTGTCCCAGAGTGACTTCTGTGAAGTGGGGAGGGAGAGGCGGCAGCCTGGAGGCGGAATATGTTCTTTCCTGTCCCTGCACCCCTGCCCCCACCCCACCCGCCCCACCCCTGTTGGCTGGCTCCTGGCAGGACACGGAAGAAGGAAAGTCAGTCCTAGACCTACCCAGGCCCTTCAGGTTCCCGTTTTTACTCGCAGAAAGGAAATTCCAGGAGGGGACAAGCAGTGAATGAAGTATAGCAGATTTTATTTGGAAGTTCTGGGGGGAAAGAGAGAATGTAGGCTCCCCAGAGTGAGAGGGCACCCCAGCATTAGATATGAAAGTCCACATCTCAAGAGGGGACCCGTGGGAGACGCCGCGTGCTCGGGTACCACATGCGCTCAGTCACAGCACATGGGCACAGACAGAGCATGGCTGGGCAACTGATGCGGGCGCTTCTTTGGTTCAGGCTGGCTTTGACAGGGTTTCTCTCAAGCTGCCCACGTGGAGCTTTCTTTATGGGTCACACCTGGCCATGCACAGGGGTTACTCCTGGCTCTGCTCTCAGGAATTACTCCTGGCGGTGCTCAGGGGACCAAATGGGATGCTGGGAATCGAACCCAGGTCAGCCGCGTGCAAGGCAAATGCCCTGCCCGCTGTGCTATTGATCCAGCAGCCCCCCCCATGTGGGGCTTTCTACTGAGCTAAGAGTCTGTTGCTAGGGTATTTGCCACGGGGTGGAGCTGGGAGCAGAGGCTGGTCTCTGACACCCCTTTTCTGGCCTTTGCTCGCGGGTTCCAGGCTTCTCTGGGTCTGTGCAGGCCCAAGGTCAAGGTCTGATAGGACCTGAGCCCTATGTCCACAAGTGGGCCCCAGCAACCTCAGGGCTAGTTGATTTTATTACTTCCCGTGTCAGGGTCCCCTTCCCTGCCTGCTTCGGGGGTGACTCTGGGCCAGCAGTAGCCCTTAAGCCTCCATCAGATGTGGCTCCAAAATCAGCAATAGCGACAAGGGTGCTGGACCCGAGGACAGCAGGAGGGCACTGGCCTTGCCGAGCCCAGCCTGGCTCCATCCTCGACATCCCATAGAGTTGCCTGAGCCCGGACAGGAGTGATCCCTGAGCATGGATGGGTGTGGCCCCGAACCAAACTAAAAGAAAAAGAACGAACTAACACAGAATAAAGAACCTGATTCATCTTCTGGAAGTGCTAGGGGACGCGTGGGGACCAGGGGGGCCTTCTGGCGGCAGCACATCGTGAGCCGCAGCTGTCTGAGCTACCTTCCCGGCCAGGAAGTAACGGTGAATGCCTTGGGGCCGGAGAGTCCAGTAGGTAGCATGCTTCCCTTGCATGCAGCCAACCTGGGTTCAGCCCCCCAAGCCACAGCACCATACATGGTCCCCCAGCCCCACCAGGAGTGTGCCCTTGGTGCCCTCCTGGGTGTGGCCCCAAGCAACAGATCCAGGGGCTGGAGTGATAGCACAGCGGGGTAGGGCATTTGCCTTGCACGTGGCCGACCCAGGTTCGATCCCCAGCATCTCATATGGTCCCCCGAGCACTGCCAGGAGTCATTCCTGAGTACAGAGCCAAGAGTAACCCCTGAGCATCGCTGGGTGTGACCCAAAAAGAAAATAGAAAACAGACCCAGACGAAAGCCTTGATTTCCTTTCTGTGTTTCTCCCCCAAAACCAGAAGCAGAGGTGGCTGCTGTCCCCCTTCCCTTGCCCACTCATGGGATAACCTGCTTTTCTGGTTTTATCTCTTTCTTACCAAGTCTGTGTAATTGGCATGTGGTTGTTACCTTTGTCAACCATAAGCTCAGCACTTCTCAACCTACTCCTCAGCACAGGTCCTGCCAGTTTTTTTCTCCTTAGCTTTTTGGGTCACACCCAGTGATGCTCAGAGGTTACTCCTGGCTCTGCACGCAGAAATGACTCCTGGCGTTGCTTGGGGGACTCTATGGCATGCCAGGGATCGAACCCCAGTCATCTGGGTCAGCTGCATGCAAGGCAAATGCCCTCAGGCCCCGGTCCTGCCAGTTTTGACAAAGGTAGCAACCACTAACCCACCGCTAGTTTGAAAGATCTCCAGCATCCCATCGTGTAACACTGGCTTAGCCCTCAGGGAACCTTCTGGTTCTTTCTGCAGTTCAGAGCCCTGGCTTGCTGGCTCTCTAAAGGGTTCCAGGACTGCTTCCGATTGCCCCACCCCACCCCACCCCAAACTGCATCAATAATCCCTTGCACATTTCATCTGCATCTTCAGATACTTTTTATTTGTTTGCTTTTGGGCCACACCCCACCGTGCCCAGGGCTCACTCCTGACCTGGCCCAGGGGACCCTCTGCAATGCCAAGGATGGAACCCAGGTCAGCAGCCTGCACCGCAGATGCCCTCCCCTCCCCTTCCCACCTTCCTCTCCCCACCCTCCCCTCGCCATTCTATTGTTTCAGCCTCATTCTATATTTTCACATTCAGATACTTTCTGTGGATAAACAGGATGGCTACACTTATCTTTGCTCCCTGACACCTCTTCAAACGCTTTTCAAACTCTCCCCCAGCAAAACTGCCACAGCCTGACCTCTGAGACCTGACTTTGGGGCCCCCTGGCAAGTGGGTCTGTAAAGAAAATTCTCGAAGCAGAAGTCTTCAGGGCCTATGTTGAGCTGCAGACTGGGAAGAGAAAGTTGATCCTGAGATGCAGAAGCCCAGTTCCTTCTGGGGGACTGAGTAACGCGTGCCAGCACCCCTGCATCCCAGTGAGCCGGCTGCAGTCAGTGCAAAGCTGTCTCCTCGCCAATGCCCCCTCAACTGCCTCTCCCACTGTGCAGGCAGGACCCCCACCTTGGAGCCCCCTGCAGCCTGTCTGAGAGCCCCTGGGACACCTAAAGGAAGCTGAACCAAGCTGTGGCCACTGGTGGTCTTCAGACACTTTAGAAAGGTCACAGCAAAGGTGCCAGGCTCACTGTAGTCCCGTTTCCTTGCTCCAGGCCAGCCCAGGGTCCCAAAGACCTTCACCTGACTGGCTTTGCACCACATGTGAGCAGATAGTAACCCCCATCAAAATGCCAACTGACCCCAGAGATAGCTCAAAGGGCTGAACCCCGGCTTTGCATTGGGAGCTCTAGGTTTGATCCCTGGCACTGCACAGTCCCCCGGAAGGGCCAGAAGCAACCTCTGAGCACCAAGTACCTCAGAGTGTGACCAAACCCTAAATCTAACAAGAATGACAACAACAAAAACCAACCTTTTGTGGCTGGAGCGATAGCACAGTGGGTAAAGCGTTTGCCTTGCACGCAGCCAACCCGGGTTCAATTCCCAGCATTTCATATGGTTCCCTGAGCACCGCCAGGAGGAATTCCTGAGTCAAGCCAGGAGTAACCCCTGTGCAATGCCGGGTGTGACCCAGAAAAAACCAAACTTTTATTTATTTATTTATTTATATTGGGGTTTGGGGTCACACCCAGCAATGCCTAGAGGTTACTTCTGGCTCACTCCTGGCAGGGGTCAGACTACAATGGGTAGGGCGTTTGCTTTGCATGTGACCAACCCAGGTTTGATCCCTGGCATCCCATAGTGTTCCCCAAACACTGCCAGGAGTAATTCCTGAGTGCAGAGCCAGGAGTCACCCCTGAGCATCGCCGGGTGTAACCCAAAAAGCCAACAAAACAAAAAGAATCACTCCTGGCAGGGCTCGGGGGGCCCTATGGGTGCCAGGGATCGAACCTGGCAAGGACCCTCCTGGCTATCCACTCTATAGCTCCTGCCCAGGACCAGAGCTGTCGTAGCGTTCCAGAAAACGGGCGAATTCATCCTGGGCACAAGGTCATTTCCAGAAGTGGCGGACTCTATCTTGACCCCGACTGTCAGCCGCTGTGACTCAGAGGCACCCGGCCAGCCATGTGAATCAGGGGCCAGCCAGTGTCTGGTGTCTCAGGGTCCAGAGTGTGGAAAGAAGTGACACATACAGGCAGGGAGGGACTCGCCGCTGAGGCCCCCACCCTCCCCTTGCCCCCCACCCCTTGTCCCCCACTTCCCAGCCACCGGAAGCAGTGCTCTCTGAGCCTGCTCCAGGCTGAGGAATCAAAGAAACCACCACCAGTAACGCAGAGGCCAGGGCAGCCAACAGAGGGCGCTGTTGCCAGGGCAGGTGGATGGGGGGGGGGGGCGTAGTGGGGGGTCCTCAGCTGTCCCCAAGGTCAAGGCCAGGAGGGAGCCCCAGGGTGGATCTTCAGCACTGCCTGACACTCCGAGTCCTGCCAGGAGTGATCCATGAGGTCGGAGCTGGGTGTCAACCCTGAATACTGCAAGTGTAGCCAAAACCAAACCAAACGAAGCAGGCAAGAGTCGTGGTCAGCAGGCCCAGGGCTGGCAGCGGGCGTGGGGAGGGCTGTGGCAGAGGCAGCTACGGCGTTCCAGAATAGCTGAGAATGCGTTGGGATAAAGGGGCATTACAACCTGAGGGGTGCTGCATCTTGTCAGCCCCCAAATGGCATAGCCTGAGTCCGACGCTTCACACCAGGCGCAGAAACGAATTCCTGGACACAGTCAAGAGAAAACAGGAGACGAAAGCAAACACATAAGCTGAGATGAAATCCTGCAGATTCTGTTGATCATTAACCCCGGTTGGACACGAGCCAAAGTGCTGAGTGCTGAAAGCAGCAATGACCCTTGATGACTCCGGGAACTGGGAACCAACTCAGAGACGAATAGGAACTTCTGACAGGGCTTGGGGACTTGGAGTCTTTCCGGCATAAAGTCACGCGTTTGAGCCCTGGTGCCATCACATGTGACAGCATGATCCCTGCGATTCTCCAAAACCGCCTGGGATTTTGTCTGTTCTGCGGCCAGGGCTGTCGGGGAGCACCACACAGGGGAGAAACCCCAGTGAGAACTGCACCTGAAATGATGCGTGAACAGTCACGCAGAAGGAATGGCATTTGTCTTGTTGGAAATTTACCCTGGTTGAGACCAGGCACGGCATACCATGCCCCAAGCATCGCCCAGGGTCACCCCTGAGCACAGAGCCAGGAGTTATCCCAATAAGCCCTGAGAAGATGTGGTGTCCAAAATAAAGATAGACAACTAAAATGGTGCCATTGCCTGTGACTGTTTATTTGCCTGTCTAAAGAAAATGCAGGGGCTGGAGAGATAGCACAGCGGGTAGGGCGTTTGCCTTGCACGCGGTCAATCCAGGTTTGATTCCCAGCATCCCATATGGTCCCCTGAGCACTGCCAGGAGTAACCCCTGTGCATCGTCGGGTGTGACCCAAAAAGCAAAAATAAAAATAAATAAAAAATAAATAAAAGAAAGAAAATGCAAAGAGGGGCTAGAGCGATAGTACAGCGGGTATGGCTTTTGCCTTGCACGTGGCCGACCTGGGTTCAATCCCCAGAATCCCATATGGTCCCCCAAGCACCGCCCGTAGTAATTCTTGAGTGCAGAGCCAAGAGTAACCGCTGAGCATCGCCTGGTGTGATTCTAAAAGGAAAAAAAAAAAGCAAAAGATCTAAGCAGAGATCGGGTGCAAGGGTTGGGAGCAGGCGAAGGGTGAGGAGGGAGATGAAGAGATTACTGGAGAGATTACCGGAGAGATTATTGGAGGGATTACTGGAGAGATTACTGAAAACAGTTGCTGTCCTGATTGTGGTTTCCCACGGCCAGACATGAAATTCTCATTTACAAGGTCTGTCAATTACATCTGAATTGCACTGGGAAGGAGGGAAGGAAGGAAGGAAGAAAGGAAGGAGGGAGGGAAGGAAGGAAGAAAAGAAGGAGGGAGGGAAGGAAAGAGGGAGGAGGAGGGAAGGATTGATAATCGCAGATGAGCATGCAATCACCTTTGTATGCAATGGCAGAGCCGCACTATAAAGTATATTGCTGGTATAAATAAGAGCGAGGGGCCATCACGGTGGTCCAGAGCGTGGGTTAGGGCACTTGCCTCACTCGCGGCTGACCCAGATTCACTATCCCTTACGGTCCCCAGAGGCCTGAGTGCAGAACTAGAAGAAAGCCCTGACTTCCAGGTGTGGCTCAAAAACCAGTAAATAAATAAGTAAATAAAATAAAAAATAAAAACAAGGGTGGGAGCGGTAGTACAGCGGATACGGCACTTGCCTTGCACCTGGTTCCACCCCCGGACTCCGATAAGGTCCACCAGGCACCGCCAGGAATCACTTAATCACTTAACTTCCCGTTAATCGTCAATTTGCTTGAGCGGGCGCCAGTAACGTCTCCATTTGTCCCTGTCATGTGCTAGTGTAGTCCAATGGCGTCTGTTCGCTCTAGGAACATGAAGAGCCTCAAACCGATTGTTCATAATCTTGATGAAGAAGTCTGACCATCTGGTAGGTGGGTGGCCACGCAGTCTTTTGACATCCTGTGGAATCCAGTCGGTAACAGCTCTAGTCCATCTTCCGGAATTGCCGTACCATATTTGATAGGGTTCAAATATGGTAACACCTAGAGGGCGATTAGAGGTCACCCCAAAAACCTCTATCCCTCTCGGAAAGACTGGCAAGCTACCGAGAGTATTCCGCCCACACGGCAGAGCCTGGCAAGCTATCCGTTGTGTATTCGATATGCCAAAACCAGTAATTACAATGGGTCTCATTCACTTGACCCTGAAGGCTTCACCGATATGGCAGCACTGAGAAGGATGAGAAAGGAGAGGCCGATAAAATCTCAATGCTGAACTAGGCTGCCAGAACGAAGGAAGACAAAAATGATCGTCTGTACTTTCAATGCACGTATGCTAGCATCAGATGCATCCATCGAGGACCTGATGGTACAAGCGCGAAAGATCAAGTATGACATCATTGGTCTGACCGAGACAAGAAGGCACGAATCTCACCATGCCGTTTTCGATACTGGAGAAGAATTGTTCCTCGGAACATGCGATAAAAGAGGTGTCAGAGGCGTTGGTGTCCTTGTCAACACAAACTTGGCCATGAGCATTGATTCATTCGAATGCCTAACAACCCGAATCGGACGTTTACATTTGAATAGATGTGGCTCACTGCCTGCGGTTTCTATCTTCATTGTCTACGCACCAACATCTCATTATGATGAAAGAGAAATTGAGAAGTTTTACATGGAACTGGAGAAGTTCTATAAAGAAGACCACACCTTCTACAAGATCATTGTGGGTGATTTTAATGCCAAGATAGGACCGAGAAGATCAGCTGAAGAACTTCACATCGGGACCCATGGCCTAGAATGGAACGAACAGGGTGAGAGACTGTCTGAGTTCATTATGTCGACCAAGACCATCCATGATAACTCACAGTTCCAGAAGGCAGAATCTAAACGTTGGACGTGGGAGTCTCCCGGTGGACGATTCCACAATGAAATAGACCACATCATATTCAATCGATGATTTTGCCTGACTGATGTCGCTGTTGTCCCAAAATTCTGAACGGGATTGGACCACCATCTCCTTTGTGCAAAATTCTACTTCACAGAGCAGGGAGAAAGGGCTGCAAAGTTTAAAAAGAGAACTCTCAGACCGCCAGGAATAACTTTTTTTTTAAGTTTTTGGGTCACACCTGGCGATACTCAGGGGTTACTCCTGGCTCTGCACTCAGGAATTACCCCTGGCGGTGCTCAGGGGACCATATGGGACGCTGGAAATCGAACCCGAGTCGGCCGCGTGCAAGGCAAACGCCCTACCCGCTGTGCTATCACTCCAGCCCCCAGGAATAACTTCTGAGTGCAAGGCCAGGAGTAAACCATGAGCGTCGCTATGTGTGGCCCCAAAACCAAACAGATCCGTGATGGGGCTGCTAAACACTGAGTGTGGGCTCACAGCTTTGAGGAGCCTTCTCGAGGTGGCGGTGCTTGGTCTTCCACTGCCCCCTAGCGGCGTCTGGAAAGACATGTATTTTCTTTATTTTCTTTCTCTCTCTTTTTTTTTCTTTTCGGGTCACACCCAGCGATGCTCACACTCCTGGCTCAGCACTTAGGAATTACTCCTGGCAGTGCTCGGGGGACCATGTGGGATGCTGGGGATCGAACTCGGGTCGGCCGCGTGCAAGGCAAACGCCCTACCCGCTGTACTATCGCTCCAGCCCCCATATATTTTCTGTTTGATTTGTTTGTTTCTTTCCTTTTGGGTCACGGCAACGCCAGAGCTTACTCCTGGCTCTGCACTCAGGAATTACTTACTCCTGGAGGTGCTCGGGGGACCATATGGGATGCCGGGATCCAATTGGGTCGGCTGCGTGCAAAGTAAATGCCCTCCTCACTATTCTAGAGCTCGGACCCCTATTTTCTATTTGAACTGAATCTCAATTCCCTGACCTTGGTCAGCCTGGCCTTGGCCTATCCTGCCCCTCTTTCATCTTTTTAAAAATCGAAGCAAATTGTTCTTATTAAAAGAAATTGAGGTGTGAGAGGAGAGAAAAAGGAATGCGTGTTCAAGAGAGAAAAAGGGCTTTGCAGAGATGTGTGAAGCATCTTTCTGCCTCTTAACCAAACGCAGCTGGCCGCGGAACAAAGTTGACAGCTCGCCCTGGCTTGAAAGCCCTTCTTCTGGAAGCTTCTGTGACAACCCCCCAGCTCCTTATCCCACCTTACTACCCTACCTCGTCTCCTTCTTCCCCTCAGTCCGCCTCCTGGGTTCCCTGGCCCCAGTCCCTGACCTCCCCCGGGGTGTGAACTGTCTCAAAATCCAGCCCATTGGCCTCCCATACCCTCAGCGGGCGCCTCCCAAGCTTCCCTGATCAAAACACGAGCCTCAGTTTCTCCCCTGAGCCTTCTCTTTCATGGAGGGTACGGGCTCTGGGCCACATCAGGGTGCTCTGGGCAACTCCTGGCTCTGCAGCACCATCTGTGAGTGGGGTACAAGGGGCGGGGGCTTGCACTGGGAAGAAAGTCACTTGGGAGACCTCAGGAAGAGGCTCTCAGAGCTGGCACTGCCTAGCTCTGTGCCCCTAAACGCGGGTCCAGCTGCTAGGGTGGCGGGGGGGGGGGGGGAGGCGGGGGAGGGTAAACCGATCCCCCAGCAGCGGGCGGCCGACGTAGGACCAGCTCAGCGCCCGCGGCAGCCTCCGCGCAAGCGCACAGAATTCCCGCCACAGCGGGAAGCGAGGACGCATGCGGGCGGCTCCTTCCCCCGAGGGAGGCGGAGCCTGGCGGGGACGGGGCGCTGACGGGGGCGGGGCCTTCGCGCAAGGGAGGGGTTTCCGCTTCCTCCGAAAGGCGGAAGTCCCTGTCTCCCGGGTGAACCTGGCAGTGGCGACGCGCGGAGACGTGTGCAGGTGAGGGGTGGCGTGGCTGGGCGCTTGGGCGCCGACGGTCGCGGCGTCCTGGCAGACGTACCGGGGGCCTGGGGAGCGGCGGATCGGGAGCCTCCCTCCCCGGTCAGCGCGGGCGGCCTAGCGTAGCTGCTCGGAGGCCTGGCGCCCGCGGGAGGAGATCCCGAAGCCTTATCCGGGGTGAGGTTACGGGGTACGCGGTGGTCCCCGAAAGAGATGAGACTCTGGGCTCATCCGTAGTTGGCCCGATTCATGAAACTTCACCTGTTCTCGCGCAACACGGGGTTCCTGCGAGCTTCGTGCGGACCAGGCGCAGGAATTGGTGCGGGCGCTGGGGGCGATGATGGCCTCCACCGCCCCAGAACTGACTTTCTAGTGTGCGGGACTAGCGCGATCTGCCCGTAGGCTTGGGAATCTGCGGGGGGGGGGGGGAGCACCCCCAGGCGATTCTGTTGCAGGTGCTACCTAGGCTGAACTTTTGTTTTGTTATGGGGCCACACCCTGCGGTGCTCAGGGCTGACTCCCGGCTCAGAACTCAGGGATCATTCCCAGCGGTGCTCAGGGGACCCTCTGTGGTGCCGCTTGCCCTTGTGGGCTGGGTGTACCTGCTGTACTATCTCTCGAGCCCTTGAATTTTGTTTAAAAAAAACGTAAACAAGGTGAGCGCCTGCGTTCGGGGGGACTGCATGACTGCGGCGGCAGCGGCAGCGAGTGTGTCTGTCCGCCCTGTGTCTTCTCTCTTGTGTCCCATTCCCCCAGCCTGGTCCCCTCCCCCCCACACCCCAACCTGGTCTTTTTGCCTCGGCCTTGGCCATTCCCAAAGCTGGTGGCAACGGCGGGGTGGCTGCCGCCTTCCTACTGCAGTTGGAGCCTTTCCCAACCTTGTGGTCGTTCTCCCCCACGCCCCCTAGACCCCCCCCTCCCAGTCTAGCATAGCCTGTGGGAAGTGTCTGCCCCTCCCAGCTGAAGTGCTCTCCCTTGGTGTGTGAGAGTGTGTGTCTGGAATCTGAATCCCCCAAAGGCAGACATGCTGCTGGCAGTGTGGGTGGGCGAGAGGACGCTCATTCATTCATTCATTCACTCACTCACTCACCCCATATGGGTCATGAGCGTTTCTGAGGCTCTGGGGAAATAATAATTAAAAAAGAAAAGGTTCTGGTGGGGTTGAGATCAGGATGACCATTAGGCAGGGTTAGGGCTGGCGGGAGACTGGAAGGGGCCCTGGAGATCATGCCACATTTGTGGGTGAGAAGCGTGCTTACAGGAGCTGGCCAGGGCAGCAGGGTAGGATGGAATCGAGGGTGTGAGAAGAAATAAAGGCTATATAGGACTTCGGGAAATCCAGAAGTGCCCTTGCTGGCGCCACCGGGAGGGGCCAGTCTGTGTTCCTTTGAGCCTGTGGTGCAGAGCTCAGAGTGGGAAGGGGCCCTTTAAGCTTCCTTGATCTACATAGGGGTGGCACCTGTGGCCAGAGACAGGGCCACCTCTCCAAGGAGGTGAGTTTTTGGGGAGAAGAGAGGACCCCAAAGACGCCTGCGGGCTCCCTGGTAATTCGACAGGATTGGAAACAGGAGCCATTGGTAAGATTGTAGATCCCCAGAATGGGAAGGGCAGGAGAAGTCTTTCTTTTGGGGAGCGGGGTGGGGGCGGTTAATAACACGTGGCGAGTAGGTTGGCGTGCAGGTGTCTGTACGTCTGCATGGCACCGGGACACGGGCCGGGTGGGGGTCGCAGGGCAGAGCAGAACTCTCTCTGCCTTTCTGTCTCGCCCTAATGGCCTCCCAGAGATCAGAAAACTCAGGGTGGGTCTGGAGGGTGGGCCGAGAGGCCGAGGGTGCAGGCATGTATGTAGAAGCTTCCAGGCAGTGAGATTGGGTGGGTGGGGAGCTATCTGCTGGCCAGGCCATCCATGGGGCTGGTGCTTCCTGGGGGTACCTGTGGTGGCTAGGCTGATTATGACCCAAATATTCTGGTAGTCCTTAAGACGCCTCATCCCTGCTGTATGGGGGGGAAACTGCAGTACAGAACCACCGTCCCTCTCCCCAGGGTTTCGTAGAAGTGGGGGGTACAGTCGCCACTTAGGCCATCTGCACCGCCAGGGCAGGAGACCTGAGGCTCCCTGACTCTGCCCCCCCGCCCCCAGACATGGGCCGCAGAAAGTCCAAGCGGAAGCCGCCCCCCAAGAAGAAGATGACGGGGACGCTGGAGACTCAGTTCACCTGCCCCTTCTGCAACCACGAGAAGTCTTGTGATGTGAAAATGTGAGTGGGTGGAGTCCCCGGCCGGGGAGGGGGCCTCTGCCACCTGCAGAAGCTGCTCCCCACTTGCTCACGCACCCCACACCTCGCGTTCCAGGGACCGAGCCCGCAACACTGGAGTCATCTCCTGTACCGTGTGCCTGGAGGAGTTCCAGACGCCCATCACCTGTATCCTTGCCAAACCTGGGGGCTCGTGGAGGAACGCGGGGGTCATGGCAGGGCTGCCTGTTGGTCCCCATCCCTGGTTCCAGGTCCCCCTCCCCCATGAGGGGTGGGGTCCAGATGAGGTCAGTTCCCCTTGACCACAGCCAATCAGATTTGTCAGAGCCCGTGGATGTCTACAGTGATTGGATAGACGCCTGCGAGGCAGCCAATCAGTAGCGAGGAGGAGGACCCACCCCCTGGCAACCCATCCCCACCCCACCCGCCTGAGTTCCGAGCCAGAGACATTGGGGGGCCAGGGTGTGGGTCCAGGGCTGTGTTAGTCCACCGTGTGTATGTGTGTGTGGGGTGTGTGTGTGTGTGCATGCGCTTGATTGTTCACTTGCGTGACTGTGGTATGAGTCTGTGTGACTGGGAGCCAGGACGTGAAGTTGAGGTGTCCCTGTGCCCACTCTGCCTGAGCTGCCTCCATGGACACTGGGACTCTGACGTGCCGGGTTCTCCAGGGCCCTGAGTTGTTCGGGGGAGCCTCCCCCAAGTTCCTGGGACTTGTGACCGGGACCTCTGTGCTCCACCCAGCTCTCTCAGTCAGGCCCGGGCTGGGCGCAGGGAAAGGGGTGCGGTGGCGTTGGAATTGCTTTTAGGGAGTGGCAGGGGTCGAGCGCTGTGTTTTGACTTGCAATAAAGCTCTAATGGGACTCGTGGCTCCTTGTGGTTCCTTGGGGGGTCAGCGCGCAGGCTGGGTCACCCCAAGATTGCCCAACGGGCCGACAGTTGACGGGGCCTCCGGCACTCACTGGATTGGTGGACAATGCCGGCATCCAGCACTCAGAGCTCCACCCCAGGGCCCCCCTGCAAGGCTCTGAGCCAATGATATGCACAGAACCTCCCACAAGCGTGGGGGGCGGGGGTGTCCTTCAGGGCCCAGCAGAAAGGGGGTTCCTTCTTGGTGTGCAGGGCCGCCCCGCCCAGCTGGCAGACCAAGTGCTAATATGGTGCTGTCTGCCCCGCTAGGGCTGGGCCAGGCCCTGGGCCAGACCATCCTCGGCCTGCGGGGGGACAGCCTGCCCGGAGGTCACAACCCAGAGCCTGGACTCGGAGGCCCCAATAATTAAATGTATCAGCATGGGGGGTTTCTCTGGGGTCCGCCTCAGGACAGCACTTGCAGTCTCAGCCCTGCCTGGGGCAGGATGGGGAGAAAACAGGGCTGTGCCCCAGAACCGCCGCACTGTGGGTGGCTTCCAGGCTTCACGGGGACAGCAAGCTCCCGTCTGAAACGGACAGACCTGGGGCCCCTTGGCAGGCTCCTGGGTCACTGGACTCAGTTGCTTAAAGCAGCTGGCTCCATCCCAACGCCAACCCTCACATGGGTATGTGATGAGCCCCGCATCCCCCCACTGTGGGCGCCCTAGCCCCCACAGAGCAGCGCAGACTCGGGCAATGATTCTACAGCCTTTTATTGTGCTCCAGTGAAATCGAAGAGAGAAAAAGTGCTCATTTTCCCGACGCTGCACCCTCGGTCTTCCAGCCAGCCTAACCGCGTGGACCACTCCTGAAGGTGCAGCCCGCTCCAGAACGGAAGCGCGGGGGTTTCCGAGGGGCGGGGGGTGCTTGTCCTGGGGTGGGGGGTCACAGCTGGGCTACTTTTGCTCAGTGCGGCCTCGGCCTCGGGCTGCTATCCGGAGCAGTCAGCCGGAAGTTGGCCCCTCCATGGGGGAGCGGCCCCCGACTCTCAATCAGCTTCCCCCAAATGCTAGCGCAGGAGGCGGCGGCGTCAGGGCGTGAGGGGCTGGAGGGTGCCATGCAGGGGGAGAGGTGGGCCGCCCCGTGGGGGGCGCCCAGAGCAGCAGGCAGCCTCCCCCGCGGAGGGGGGAGCGGGGCGGGCCCCTAGGCTGAGTTGTAGTAGTTGTGTGGGTGGTGGTGGTTGTGCGCGGGCTCCCCCAGCTCCTCCAGCTCGGGGCTCAGGCAGTACTTGGGGTCGTACACCTGCCGCGGGAGCCCGTATACCGTCATGCCCCGCTGCGAGGCGCCCTTGTTGCTGCCCATCTGCAGGCTGACGTTGAGAGTGTCACAGTGCTCCATGCCCAGCGAGGGCTCGAAGATCTGCCGCTTGGTGCCCGGCGCGGTCATGCCCGCCTGCGGGGGGGCAGGGAGGGCTGGGCGGTCAGCCGGGGGCCATGGGCGAGGGGGCGCGGCGAGGCAGAGGAACCCTCCCCCCCACGCGCACCCACCTGGCTCGCTCCCTTGTTGGTCCCCATCTGCAAGCTGATGGTGGCCTGGTCCAGCGGCTGATCTGTGCCCAGCTTGGGGTCGTAGAGGTGGCGTCGAGTGCCGTAAGCTGTCATTCCCTGCTGGCTGGCAAACTTGTTGGTGCCCATCTACGGGACCAGAAGAATCACTTGAGAAGGTGGACACGGAGGACCGGGGCTGGAGACCCCCCCTTTCTTTATTTTTGGGGGGGATGAGGGGCGTTTGGGGCCACTCCTGGCTCTACTCCAGGGACCACTCTTGGCAGGGCTGAGCGAACCATTTGGGGTGATGGGGGCTCAAACCCGGGGCTGCCACGTGCGCCGTAACCCACTGTAGTATTGCTCTAGCCCCTGGAGGCGGCTTCTCTGGACTCGTGACTCCCAGGTAACGGGCACGGCGAGGGCGCCCCCTGCTGGCGGGGCGGGGCATGTGCATGGAAACGTTCTGACAGGTGTCTCCCCCCCCCCACCCGCCCACACACACACACCCGCCCCATCCCACGGCACCCCCCTGCGACCCCCGCGAGGAAGGGACCCCACCTGCAGCCCGATAATGTTCCTCCCTTGTCTGAGCTTCTCCGGCTCGAACTTGCGCTCCTGCTTCTCTGCGTACTTGACTCCCACGTTCACCTTGTTCCCTTTGGTCTTGGCCTGGGTAAGGGGGGATGGAAGGAGGCAGGGGCTGCCGCGGGCCCCCCGGGGGTGCGGGGGAGCAGCTTCCCGCCCCCCGCACTCACCATGCTGGCCAGCGCCAGGAGCGTGGACTGCACCTGAGTGTGGTTCGTGTTCTCAAACAAGTCATTGGCCTCGAAGATGTCGTGGGGCTTCACCCCGTACTTGGTGACCGCCTTGATGAAATTGCCGATGTTCTCCAGCTGTGGGGAGCAGGGCTGTGGTCAGCGGGGACCCAGGGGTGCTGGGTGGGGGGTGACTGAGAGGGGCAAAGCGCCAGAGGGGTGCTCACCTGGTGCCAGTTCTGCGTGGACTCATTGATCTTTTTCACGGAGCCCGGCTGGAGTTTGTTGATGAATCTGCAAAGGGAAGAAGGGAGACCAGGGGTGATTCCGCCTCCACCTCACACCCCAGGCCCCAAGATGGAGGGCAGGGGAGGGTCCTCACACAGTGCTTTTAAAAATACATATTTGTGGGCCAGAGCGATAATATAGTGGGGAGTGTTTGCCTTGCACGTGGCCCACCCAGGTTCGATCTCCGGCATCCCATAGGGTCCCCTGAGCACTGGCAGGAGTAATTCTTGAGTGCAGAGCGAGGAGTAACCCCTGTGCATCACCGGGTGTGACCAAAAAATAAATATTCAAAATACATTGGAGGGTATGTCCGGAGCTGCTCAGGGCTTACTCCTGGCTCTGTGCTGAGAAATTACTCCTGCCGGTGCCTGGGGGACCATATCAGGTGACAGGATGAGTCTGGGTATGCTGTGAAAGGCCAGCACCCTCTCCTCTGTACTATCACCCCGACTCCATTTTATTTTATCTATTTTTTGGGGGGTAACACCCAGCGATACCCAGGGGTTACTCCTGGCTCTGCACTCAGGAATTACTCCTGGCGGTGCTTGGGGGACTATATAGGATGCTGGGGATCTATCCCGGGTCCGCCACATGCAAGGCAAACACCCTGCCCACTGTACTATTGTTCCGGCCCTTTATTACTATTTTTAAGCCTTCTTTTGTTCCCTTTGGCCCTGAGCACAATTGAGATATAGGCCTCCCTATCTTCTGGAAGCGGGTAAGTTTGGGTCACAGCCAGAGAGGCTCAGGGCTTCCTGGCTCTGTGCTCAGGGATTCACTTGTGGCAGTGTGTGGTGTTCAGGGATTGGAACTGGGGTCAGATGTGTGCAAGGCAGACACTTCACCTGCTGTACCATCACCGCTAGCTCCCACTCTGGAATTTTCCTCCGCCCCTCAGAAACGTCCCTTCACCCTGTGGCGTCAGCAGGCCCATTTACCCAGGGCTTCGCAAGCCCCTGACTTACCCGTGTCGGTCAAGGCTCAAGCTTCTCTGCATCCACAGCCCTCAGGTTTTGGGCCCTGGCGCTGCCCGACCCCCTCCTGGACAGGCGCCTGTCTCCACCCACTCCTTCTAAATAGACCCCCCACCCCTCCGCAGAAACAGATTTTTCTTTTCCATTTTCTTCGGTTTTGAGCCACACCCGGAAGTGCTCAGGGTTTACTTCCTGCTCTGTGCTCAGGGGACACTGTGTGGTGGTAAGGACTGAACCCCGGCTGGCCGTGTGCAAGGCCTTCCCCACGATCCTAACTCTCCGACTCCTGGAACAGCCTTCTGCAAAACAATTCAAGCCAGAGCCGGATTGACAGCACAGGGGGGCTGGGGATTTCCCTTACATTCGGCTGACCCAGGTTTAATCCCTGGCACCACACAGTGATCCCTGAGCACAGAGACAGGAGTAAACCCTGAGCACTGCTGGATGGGGCCCCAAAACCACATACAACCCCAATACAAAAAAATATTTGGTTTGGGGCCACACCCAGCAATGCTTAGGGGTTACTCCTGGCTCTGTACTCAGGAATTACTCTTGGTGAGGCTTGGGGGACCATATGGGGTGCCAGAGATCAAACCTGTTTTGGCCGCGTGCAAGGCAAACGCCCTCCCTACTGTAGTATCATTCCAACCCCAGGAAAAAAAAAAAACTTAAACACTGAATAATAAGCATAGAAATGAGAGGTGCCCTCAGGGATACAGAGCACTGGGCACAGCTCTGGAATCGGGGTGAAGGTGAAGGTCCCCATCAAGAGGGGTACAAGATAAACAGCAAAGAACCTTTGTTCCCCCAAAGCCCCTAGTCAACTCACTGGACGCCTGCAAGCTGGCACCGGGGCTGAGGACAAACATATGGCCCTGAGTTTAATCCCCCGGGGTCTCACATGTGCTTGGGTTGCCCGACCACCCCACAGTCTGGGGAAAAGGATGAAAAAAAAAGGACAAAGTCGCCCCATGTCTGCAGGTTCTTCTTGCAACTTGCAGGGCCACGTTTGCCTCTGCCAGGCCTCAGTTTTCCTGGCCTGTACAATGGGTCCACAGGAGAGGGTGCCTCTGAGAACTGTTCGCAGGTTTCCCCCCTGGAGTATCCAGCTCAGAGTCAGAGTTCTCTGAAGGCCGAGGAGCTGCCAAGGTCTGGTTGGGGCTGGGCAGGGAAGGGCGGGGGGGCAGGGGACCCAGTACCCTGCTCCCTGCTTGCTCACTCGCAAAGGATGATCCCGTCTTTGAGGCCGTCCATGAAGCGGCTGCCGATGCGACGGCCGGTCACCCCCTCGATCCACTCGCGCAGCTCCTGCTCCCGCTGGTGGTCATACTTCTGGGCCAGCTGGGGACGGGGGGAGCAGAGAGAGGGTGAGGGACGGCGGGTGCAGGCTGGCCCCCCGCGGCCTGATCTCATCACTCCAGTCCCTTCCCAACTAAGGCAATTCTGCCCCCGCGTGTCCATGGGCAGGCGGGGGTGTGTGGCAAGAGGCCCGGGTGGTACCTGCCCAGGGGGGCCATTCCGGGCATTCTGAGGTTTGGCACCAGGGAATGCGGGGGGGGGGGGGGGGCGGTGCCTGGATTTCCCATTCCCCCTCCAGACCAAACTTGGGGCTTAGCTTCCTCTGGCCTGCCCCCTCCATCGTCATCCGCTTGTGGGGTGACGGGGTGCCTGGGACAAGAGGAGGCGCCCTGCCTTGGTGTTAGTTTGTTTCTCTTCTGGGGGGTTGGTTTTCTTGGTGTTTTTGGTTTTTTAATTTTTTTTGGACCTCACCCTGCGGTGCTCGGGGCTTACTCCTGCAGAACTCAGGGACTCTCTGGGATCGAACCTGGGTCAGCCTGGTGAAGTGCAAGGGCCTTCCCCCCTGTCCTAGCGCTCCGGCTCTGCCGTCTGGGGATTGTGCCAGACCTGGGTGGGGGCCAGTCTTGGCCAGGCGGATTTGTGTTCGTTCTGTGCCCACATGCCCTTCCTTGCTGTCTCCCCTCCCCACCTCTTCCAGCCTGATTGGGGGTCCCAAGTGTCTCCTTTCTGGTGATGGGGAGTTCTTGGGTGGGTCCCCCACCTGCCGCCTCTGCTTCTCCTGGGCCCCTTCTGGCCTTGGACCCCAGGTCCCCTCCCCCGGACCCCCAACTCTCCATCCCTGCCTCAGCCTTGGTGCTCTCCTCTCCACACCCGTGCCAGGGTCCCAGAATCTCAGCCGCTCTCATCCTCCTCCCTGCCTGGCCTCCCCACAGCCCGGCCCCGTGCCCCCCCTTTTTCTCCAGCACCCCTCCCCCATCAGGCACCCTTCCCAGGCACCCTTCCCATCAGGGCGGCCCTTTCTTCTGCATGGCAGGGGGAGGGGCGGCCCCCTCACCTGGCCCTGGCCCTGCGCCCCCCTCGCTCTCGCAGCAGCTCCCTTTATAAAGCAAACCGGCCCTTATATAGCAGAGCTGGGGCCGGGCTCCCTGCGCCGCCTTATAAGGCTCGGCGGCCGCTCAGCTCGGCTCTGGGGCTCCTCTGGGGCCTGGCAGGGGGAGGGGGCGGCGCCGGCATGTGTCTCCCCAGGAACCCCCACCCCCACATGCCCGGTCCTCCAGCCCAGAGGATTCCCCAGCACCATCGGCCCAGTTCCGGCTCTGCCCTGCCCCGCCCCCACTTCCTCATCCCCTCCCCGGGGCCACCTGTGCCGGGCGCTCACCTCTGCTCCACGGGGCGGGGCGAACATTCAATGGGGTTCCCCCGGCAGCCACTCCCCCACCCCACTAGGTTGGTGACATCAAGTTAGCGTTCCCGGGCACCACCAAACCCCGTTCTCCAGGGGGGCGGGCGCCCATCTCGGACCCCTGCTACACCTTTCGCTCCAACTCGAGTTGCTTGCCTCAGTTTCTCCCATCTGCAGCATGGAGGTGGGGGGCGTCTTAGTAGTTTTCCAGGTCCTGAGTGAACTCTGCACAGCCGCTTCCCCATCTCGTCACCCTCTCCCACATCTTCCTGGGTCCCCAGAAACCCCCCAACTCCCAGAAGGCGCTTTCCCCAAACTTTGCTGGGCTGCGAGGGGCTGGGGGGCCGCCAAGTCACCCCTGGTGGTCCAGCAACGTTCTTATAGCTGCCATTGAGAGTTCCCCTCCGTGGGCCCCCTGAGCCCCAAAAGCGGTGCAGAGCCCCGGAATGATCCCCAGCTGAGGGTCGCCAGCCCGGCGGCGCATTTGACCCCGGCATCCCCAGCCCCGGGGGCTAGATGGAAGGGCTACTCAGCGAACCTCCAAGGTGGGCTCTGGGGACCGGAGCCAGGTTTGGGAGCGCCCCCAAGTCCTACCTTGTTCTTGACCTCGGCGGACAGCCCGTAGGCCGGGCCCCGGTTGAAGTGCGCGGAGGACATGCGGGCGGGTGGCGGGTCGCTGGCGCGGGGGCTGGTGTGCGGGCGGGCGGGGGCGCGGCAGAGGCGCGTCTACAGCCGCTCTGGGCTCGCACCGATTTTGAAGCAGGGGAGGGGGCGGCCCGGCAGCTCCTTAGACCGGCCCATTGGCCGCAGGGGCTGCCAAGGAGGCGGGGCGCCCCCCGCGCCGCCCCCCCCCCCCCAGCGGCCCGTGATGTCAGTATCTTGGTATTGGGAGTTGGTTGTGTCATTGTTTCCACCTGGGGGGGGGGGGGGGCTCGGGCCTGAGTTCTTTTTTTTCTTTAGTGGGGGGGCCAGAGAGAGACCCCCACCTTTCACGCCCCCACACACAGTTTATGTCTGGGTTTCAATTAAGGGGCACTGTTCTCCAGGCCAGCCCCGAAGGGCGTCAGTGGTCGCCAAACTGGCCCTGGATGGCCCTGTCTGCCTTGACCCCACCAGCTGACCCCTCCCCCAGTTTGGTCTTTCCCTCGACCCCAGGTCTCTGACCCTGCCCGCCTCTGTGCCCTGGGAAATGGCAGCGACTGAGGATGCCAGGGACCTGAGCCCTAGGGTGACAGTGTCAGCCAGTCCCAGCTCAGGCACCTCGCACCCATGTCCCTGTGTCAGCCAGCCTGGCCCCAAGAGAGGACAGCCCCTGCTGTCCCTAGGGGTCGATGTCTCAGCCAGGCCAGACCACTTGACAAGGCTACAAGGCTTCTCCATTAGTGGCGCTGGGTGATGTGTCAGCCACCTGCCACTTGCAAAAGAGGCTCTTTCTTTTGGGCCAAGCCTGGTGGGTCTCAGAGGCTGCTCTTGGCTCACAGCTTGGGATTGTTTCTGGTAGTGCTCACGGGACCATGCAGTGCTCGGCTTCTGCATGCGGAGCCCCTGGAATATCCTAGACAAAGCCACCCTGATCACCTTCATCACCATCACCGTCATCGCCACCGCCATCATCATCCTCCTTGATGTAGTTGTGTGTGTGTGTATGTGTGTCGTCTTTTTAACACCCAGCAATGCTCAGGGCTTACTCCTTGCTCTGCATTCAGGAATCACTCCTGGCAGCTCGGGGGATCCTATGGGATGCCGGAGATCAAAGCTGGGTCAGCCGCGTGCAAGGCAAATGCCTTAGCCTCTGTGCTATCGTTCCAGCCCCATAGTTGTTATTTATTATTTTGAGGGGCCACACCCGGTGCTCAGCAGTCACCCCTGGTGGAGCTCAGGAGACCCTGTGCAGTGCTGGGGATCCAGCCGCGGCTGGGTGCAGGCAGGGTGTAGGCAGGGTGAGCACCTTCCCCCCATGCTCTCTCCAGCCTCATTTGCACCTATGCCAGATCCTGTGTCTTCTGGAGTTTCAGCAACACTTTCAGGTGGTCGCGGTTATTATATGCATGTCGTGGCCAGGGAAACAGGCTGGCAGTGGAGAGCAGAACTGAACCTCCAGTTCGTCCTGCAGCAAGGCAGGGTGGACACAGGATTTCTGCCGATGAGGGGCTGCCCTGGGCAGCGTCTCTGGACCTACTGGATGTCGGTCACTTAGGAGGGCCAGACAGAAATATCTCCATACATGGCCAAAAGGGTGCAAAACAGATGTCCCCTAAATAAAGACTGAGGAAGTTTATAAAGAGGAGTCTATTAGGGAGGATGACCGGTGGAAAACAAAAGGAACTCACAGTTTTTGCCCCGCTCATTCTATGCTGAGTGCTATAAATTTTAACCCCCTCTGCCCAACTCCTCCCATGCTGGAAATTGATTCTACCAATGGCCACATCCCAGACTCCTAGATTTATTAACTACCGCCCCCTCACAACAGCCTTAGGAGGTAGGGGTCAATGGCAGTGCGGAGCGGTCAAGCCAGACTCCCGGGCGCCACACAGTGGGGAGGCAAGATTCGAACGCGCAGCCTCGGGGATCCGGCGAGCAGCGGCGCCCTCTGGCGGCCGCGGCGGAGAGCGCGGGGCGGGGCCTGGCGGGGCAGCGCGCGCTGAGTCACGCGGCCCCGCCTCTCCGCCGGCGGCCTTTGGCCATTTATAGAATCCGCCGCGGTCCTGAAGTCACTGCGCTGGCACGACAGGGGCGGAGTGCGGGGTGGAGGAGTCTTGGCAGGCTCGGCGACAGGGCAGCCCGGGGTCTCCCTAAGGGGCGGCCCTTTCCTGGATCGGCCGGGCGGTTCCGCGTGTCCTCTCTCTCCATCTCGGGGCTCTGATTTTCTCCCTCCTTGCCTGTCTCTGTGTCTGTCTGGAGGTCGGAACGGGAATAGGAGAGGCAGCGAGAGGAGGCACATCCTATCCTGATCTTCCCATCTTGGTGACCCCAGGGGACCCTCCTCCTCTCCTCCCCCTCCCCCCGCCCCGCCCTGTACATACCCGGTGATGCTCAGGACTTAAACCTGACTTTGTGCTCAGGGATCACTCCTGGCCGAGCTCAGAGGACCACATGGGCTGCCAGGGATTGAACCCGTGTCAGCCACGTGCAAGGCAAGCACCCTGCCTCGTGTACTGTCTCTCCAGCCTGTATTTTAAACTTTTTTTGTTTGGTTTTGGGTTTGGGGCAACACCCAGTGATGCTCAGGGCTTACTCCTGGCTCTGCACTCAGGAATCACTCCTAATGGTGTTCTGGGGACCTTATGGGGATGCTAGGAATCGAACTTGGTTTGGCTGTATGCACAGCAAGCGCCCTACCCGCTGTACTATCTCCCTGGCCCCTTCAGCTTTTTATTCTGAGATAATTTTCGACTTAAAGTAGCAAAACTAGGATGGTGAGTTCCTATATGCCCTTCAGCCAGAACTCTGACTTATGTAATCATACTCCATTTATCACAATGAAGCAATTAACCTTGTCACGGTTCTATTAATAAACGACTAGCCTTGCTTTGGATTTCTCCACCTTTTCTGTCCAGTACTTCTTTGGGGTGCCAGGACTGAATCTGAGATGCTTCGAATCACGATTCAAGAAAAGACACCCTCCCATCCTGCCGTCCCTCGAGCTTGAATAACCTGATTCTTTTGAAACCTGCTTTGGGGATTTTGCTAGACTGTCTCTAGATTTGGTTTGTGTTGCTGAGACGGGAGCTTGGTGCAGTATAAAGGACTCCAGAGGGTTGGTAATCCCTTACGGGTGTGTGGAGGTGACTCATAGATGCTGATGTTAGCCTCACTCCCTGGGTACAGCTCTGTCTAGGGCTGCTGAGCCCGCGAAGCTGCTGTTTTCCCATTGGTTGTTGGAGCTCTGCATATTAAAGGTCGACATCGGGGCTTCACACATGCTATTTTGTGCTCTATTAATAAACACATCAAGTATGTAAATGCCTGCGTGTGACTACGCCTGTAAGATTTGTGGCTGTCCTGAGATCCAAAGGAGGCGGCCAGATCAGCGACCCCAATGACATGTCCACCCACCACCCTTGCCCTCACCCACGCCCCAGCCGAGCAGAACACACTTGCCTGCGCCTGCACCCAAGAGAGCCGGCTGGGAGCGCGCCCAGCTGCAGCCCACGTGGCTGTCAATGTGTTGGGGAGGGTGGTGCGAGAACCCTCCTGGACCGGCAGCTGATTGGCTGTAGTGCCTCACAGTTCAGCCAATCCCAGCACTGTTGAGGAGACAAAGGTGCTGAGGCTGCGCACGAGGGTTGCAGCATCTAAGAGTGGTTGTCAGAATCCTGTTCACTGCCAGCCCCAGTCTCCTTAAACCACCCAATCTGGAAACTGCGTGAAAGGAGCGAGTAACTGTCTTCTAACTGTCTTCGCCTACAACAACCTCCTCCTCCTTCCTCCTTCCTCCTTCCTCCTCCTCCTTCCTCCTTCCTCCTCCTCCTCCTCCTCCTCCTCCTCCTCCTCCTCCTCCTCCTCCTCCTTCTTCTTCTTCTTCTTCTTCTTCTTCTTCTTCTTCTTCTTCTTCTTCTTCTTCTCCTCCTTCTCCTTCTCCTTTTCCTTCTCCTCCTCCTCCTCCTCTTCCTCTTCTTCCTGTTCTTCCTCTTCCTCTTCTTCTTCCTTTTCTTTTCCTCTTCTTCTTCTTCCTCTTCTTCCTCCTCCTCCTGCTCCTTCTTCCTCTTCTTCTTCTTTCTTCCTCTTCCTCTTCCTCTTCTTCTTCTCCCTTCTTCCTTCTTTCTTCCTCTTCTTCCTCCTCCTCCTCCTCCTCCTTCGTCCTCTTCCTCTTCTTTTTTCCTCTTCCTCTTCCTCTTCTTCTTCTTCTTCTTCTTCTTCTTCTTCTTTTTCTTCTTCTTCTCCTCCTCCTTCTCCTCCTTTTCCTTCTCCTCCTCCTCCTCCTCTTCCTCTTCTTCCTGTTCTTCCTCTTCCTCTTCTTCTTCCTCTTCTTTTTCCTCTTCTTCTTCTTCTTCCTCTTCTTCCTCTTCCTCTTCTTCTCCCTTCTTCCTTCTTTCTTCCTCTTCTTCCTCCTCCTCCTTCTTCCTCTTCTTTCTTCCTCTTCCTCCTCCTCCTCTTCCTCTTCCTCTTCCTCTTCCTCTTCCTCTTCTTCTTCTTCTTCTTCTTCTTCTTCTTCTTCTTCTTCTTCTTCTTCTTCTTCTTCTTCCGTCACACCTGGCGATGCTCAGGGGTTACTCCTGGCTCTGCACGCAGAAATTACTACTGGTAGTGATTGGGGGACCATATGGAATGCCGGAGATGGAATCCGGGTCGGCCACGTGCAAGGCAAACGTCCTCCCCACTGTACTATCACTCTGACCCCAACACCTTCTGCTCCTATCAGGCCCTTGATTAATAGGCAAATGTACTAGATTTTTTTTTTTGGAGGCGGGTGTTCCCACATGAGACTCAGCAGGCTGTCAGCAATTCTCAACAACCCTGTGCAAGGATGCAGTTTCCTCAGAATTTCGAGAATTCCCCAGGCCACCTCGGCAGTGCTTGGAGTTATCAAGTTACCCAGCAGTGCATGGGGGTGGGGGGTGTCGTATGGTGTTTGGATTTCAACCAGAATCAGCTGAAAGCAAGACATGCTTTGTGGGACCCGAGCAGTAGTAGTACGGTGGAGAGGGCGTTTGCCTTGTACTCG